ATATATCAACACTAAAAGTACGTTCAATTACTCTGTCGACTTCTTTTTTGATAGAACAGTATATTTTACCAGAGACCTCGGTAAAATCAACCCCTTATTAATTTACCCCTTTAATTAAACAATCGGCCAGCTGCGACAATGTTAATCTAGTGTTTAATTTGATCGGACATAATCTCCCCAGGTTGGCTGTGATCACATTTGAAAATCAAAGAGCACGAACAGAAATCGGTCGACAACATTTCTAACTGACGACTAAAGGATTATATAGAGTTTTAGTATGTAAACATTTGAAGTAGTTTCCACATATTGATACTGCACGCTTATTATATAAAATAACGCAAAACTTTTACTTTTGACAAAATTCTTATGGATCGCTTGTTTATGCCGGTGCAGTTTATTAAACCTAGGCAATCTCATGGACTTTGGCGTGATACTTTGCCGAATAAAAATGCGTACGTATTTCGTATATCTTAAATTAAAAACGATTAAGCATCACACACTAACCATGGCTGTTTTGGGAATTAACCACGGATATCTGTGGTTCACATACGTGGCTGAAAAAAAAAAAACAGCAATAATGTCACTACCATCAAGACAACTGAAGCTGGAGCTACCGTCGAGCGCGTCATACAGGGATCAATACTGAAGACAAGTTCTATCTTCAAAGCCACCAAGCCTATCGCCGAGCTTTATCTGACTACATTATCCAAAATCGAACCTAAAAATGAAGCAGTTGTTGCATGAGACGCTCCGTCATTATGCAATCCTCCATTGAGGCATTGCATGTTGACCTCATAGTAGTTATTATAGTCTACAACAATAATTCTCGCGTGTCATATGCGTTTTTTTCTTTCTGCCTGTTACAATTCAGTTCTACAATTACATACAACGACTCCAGCCAGCAGGAGTTGAAAAGAGCGATTGCAAAAAACGCCGTAAGGTTTTTATGATAATCATATTGCTAACTTAGATCTAAAAATAACGCCATTGCACGTATTCATTTCTTCTTACTTAATTCTCTCAGTAGCACACATACGAACGGGCGGCTGTTTCTCTGAACACAAAGAACAGGCCTAGAGGTCTGTATGCCCGTGTAGTCGTGCATGAATCCAAAGGCACCAGTGCTTTATTATAAGCTCTGATGTGTGCTATGATGTGGTGCTAGAGTATACCAACTCCGTAATATCAAAGAGTTGATGCTATCGGAAGAGCTGAGAAAGGCGGCCTAGAAAAGTGAAATATGCCGAACGATCGCATTTCCCTTGTTAATGGGAAGTTACGGGTCGGGTATTGACAGGTATAGGTTAAAACACACCCCGACATGACCTGCACTTGAAATGAATCGCTAACAACGACTAAGGGGTGCTGACTGTCGTCTGTATTTCAGCGATTTGGCTTTAGACCACAACGCTAATGAATAAAACAGTGCGGTAATGTGCAGAAGCGTTCCATGCTGTTAACAGTCCTGTCAATGCTCTGGCTATTGCGACTGAAATTTGCCCACCAGTGTTATCTTAGCGGCGACGTCATGCCTATAGAGCAGAGGGAGGATTTTCTGCTCAGCCAAAAACCGACTTCATTTCTATTAGCAAAGCTGCTTTAGCGCTCGTGCCATTCTACTATGCTGGGATGAAGCGATGTTTGGTATGCTAGGCCACCGTTTTCTCAAAACTTGAAACACTAGGATAGAAGATTTGCTTCATGTTTTCTTATAACTAATAAGGCGTACTTGCTTTCTTCCCTTCAATTCATCAAATTAAATCTAGCATTTAGAGTACGTGAAAACTACAACTATTTGGAACTACGCCAGCACCAACGCGTAATCCAATGGCTAATCTATTACAGGTCCACTATCATACATATTTACCACAGCCCGTGAATATAAAAAGTGATAAGTATATAGTTCCCGATAAAATGTATTCTAAATGAAATTTCTAAATACCTCAGTACAGAGAGCGGTATGATTATAGACGTCAGGATCTCGTACCATAGTACGTCTTACGACGCTGTCCTTGACAGGTCAGAGGATATACACTGCACATATATATATATATATATATATACGCAACCCAGATCTGTGAAGCGTTAAGTCAAATTTACAAGAAATCCATCCTTCGAAAGTCTTGACTTTAAGAAACGACAGCAAAGCGACCCCATGAAGAAGTGCACGCTCTTACAACTCTGAATGTCACCTTGACTGGCGTTCGTTACAGCAGCTTCAAACACTGGCGGGAAGTGACGCGCATAGTGCCGATAAATCGGTCGAGCTTAACTTATATTTTCTAGCTTGAGAATCAACTCCGATCCTAAAAGCTGCAGATCGTTATCCTCTAACGTTCATTCAATAGCCAATGTCGTTCAGTACAAATATAGTTTCGCATCTAACCTCTATCATAAATGCGTCGCACATATTCTACTTGGAGAAAACAAATATGAATTATTCATTTCATTTAACTTGCAAAGTTCCGAAACGATTAAAGGCTAATGGGAGCAATCACAATTCACAAGCAGTGCCTTTGAAAATCATAACTTTTAGGAAGAGAAATGAAAGTTATCAAGCTCGTTCTTAGCTGTATAGCACCTTCTGGACGCGACCCCGGTCCAAGTTTCTACATTTTCTAATTAAAACGAAACACAAACCTACCGCTGTGAATATAACCTGCCTTGATTCATACCCCAGTAATGACTGGTGCCAGCGAGCTTAATGAATGTCGCTCTAAAAATGAAACAAAACGAAGCTTCGCTCAGTGTACTGTGCTTTTTGCAAGGAATTGGATCTTTTATTTATAAAATCACACTATTTTGGACGCAGCCTACGGCTGCCACAGCATCTATGGAACAGTACTACTTAGGAAAGTCAGTTTCTGTGGTTTATCAAAATTGATTTCATATTACAGCAGGCAACGTTCAAAAGGCATAAACCGAAAAGACCCGGCCACGCATTTTCAACATTAGACCTAAATTAACTGCTGCTAACTAGGCTTTCAAAAATGGATAAGGTACAGTGGAGGCTTTCAAGCGATATTATGACAGGTACATTAGTATTTACGTGCCTAAAGTACATTCGCTTTGCAAATAGGGTTGTGTGTGTCATAGGGATATGAAGCTAACTTCCGCGATCCGGCATACTCAGAAAACTACCGTAAGCACATGGCACATAATAGTATCATTCTGTATTAAATTGACGCACATGCGAATAGCCGAAATGTCAGATACATTGTTCGTGGTATAGAGAATAGTTGATATAGGTGTTATCATATTTGGGAAGAATACGTTGTTAACGTGACCTGTCCCGACGGAATTAACCTGAACGAGTACACGCACGTCCTCGGTGTACTTACTATTAGAAGTTGACACAACGTGACCGTTCCTACTCCTACGAACCACATACTCTATATTTCACTCTTTATTTACTTCATTTATATCGGGTGTTCTCATGATAACGCATCAAATTCAATACAACAGTATTTAGTACAAAGTTAAATACAGTAGGACACTATCTAACGCCCAGTCGTTTTCAAGGAGCGACCTCTATCCAGGACACGCTTTCATATACTTCGTGGTGACACAGTGTCTTTGTGCCACGACTACAGTGACGGAGGTAACGGTGCTGTTACAGTTAAATCTAAAACGTATCATACGTTCGAAATCATCGCAATATTACTATGGCGGATCGAAATCAGTCTTAACTCTTCGACTTTACGGACCGTCACGCGACCAGTTTGCTATATATAGGTCCATACACAATCACAGTGATTCCCGTCGTCCAAATCGTCGAAATTTAGAACTTCAGACCCCTTCTTTACCCCGGAGCGGTGCTTCCGCTCCATCTCTCCCTTCAACTCGTGCCTCATAAGCTGGGAGAAGCACAAGGATACATTAACGTGGTACGCCGTGCCGTTTGTCACTTTTAGGCAAGATAGCTTTGTCCCTTATATGCGAAGTCAAAATATGTAAGCGTATCTGATATCCTGCCTCTTATCTGCGACATCAGAACATGTTTGGTGAAGGCATGGCTATAGCGAAAATAAGTTTTGCGTTAAATTTTTATGTATGCATGTGTCGAACGTCGTTCATTTTTATTTGTTCGTATAGCCGCTTCCAGAGGCTTCTATAAAGATATCGTAAAAGTGAAACTACTGCCAAACGATTACGTATAGTCAGAAAATTACCTTTATTATAGTAATAGACAAAATAGCTGTTAGAGCTCCTCTTCACTAATTAGAAAATCGACCCTTTTTGAAGCTATGCTTAATTATAGTGTCAAGTTGATTGAGTTGCACAACTTAGCCTGTCATGGAACATTTGTTATAGCTGAGTTTCTTTCAGCTTAAAAAAACGACCTTTCTTTGCTCGGCTCTAACGCCGATTCTATTTACAGCAACTTACGATAAAGAAATCAATTAGTGTTGCAGTGCGCCAATGTAGTTGAATCAGTATTGGCTTCCCCTTTACCATTAAAGTCCACCTTCAATTCAATGTCTTTACTAACAAATGGCTCTATACTATAGAGACAATAAGGTCTCACAGTCGTTCACTATTACAGCAAAGCAGTGTTATTACGTAGTAATTGATATTTTCGTGGGGCTCTGCAAACCTAGGCCAGAAAGAACTATTCTCGCTTCAGCGTCCCTAACAAAACTAATTAGGCCTAAAAATAACTTTTTAAAATACAACTTTTGAAAATTGGAAGTGAAAGCCCCGTTAATTTATTCTACTCTATCAATATCTATCAGTATAGTTAACTAGATGACTGTTTATACATATAGGATTTCAATTGTAGACACGGCTAAAAGATCAGCGCCGTCAAGAAAGCACGTACACAAAAAGAGGTGGCCGTTAAGAGTTTCGAACGGCATTAACTGGCACTCCGGTGTGCTGTGAAACACAGAAGTCCATGTTTGCGATGAAGTGGGCTCTACAGATCCCAAGTGAAAGTGCCACTCTTCTAGACATCGGCCTTTAAATAGCACGCGTTGCTCAAGGCGGAAATCGTCCAGGCTTTCAGCAGTGGAGAAGTTCAATTCTCGATGAATGGCGTCCATATGTAAGATCTCTTTTGGGACCTTGGCAACAACACGAAGCTCGGGATCGCCACAAGCTAGATCAACATCGGTAGCCCACAACAACCGACCCGTTGCTGCGTCGCGGAGGGCCAACCAGTTTACCTGAAGGTGGCAATAATTGCATGGTACTAATTCGTTTAGAAGCGAGTTATTTGCTATTATTATGTTTATTGTTATGCCAGGTTCAATAATAACCTGGCAAATCATTAGAGACCGTGTTTATATGCTGCTCACAAAATTCTCACACAATCGAAATCGAACGCCTGATTGCTACACTAAAATGAGAAGTCAAAAGCCATGCTAAACTTCGCAATCAGTCGCAGGGCCCACCAAAACCATTGGAGCCCATCAAAATATATATTTCTGTCTCTCAGCACTAACCTTAAATCCCGCGTCTCTTTCGGTGACTACTTCCGGCTCGGTCTCAATTGAATCACCTTCATCGCCTTCTTCGGACATTGCTTCGGCTCCTTCTTCAGACGATACAGCCTCCTCCTCTCCCCATCCAGCACTGGACATAGGTTTTTGGAAATTGACGACAACCCCTTCCTTCACGGGAGTGGAAGGAGGGTCGTCTGCAGAGTCTATGTTTGCTCGTTCAGATACAACCCGTGGAAAAGATAAAGTTTTTGCGGAGGACACCACCGTAACAGAAGATGCCACTTTCATAACGGCAGCTGTTTTCACCGAGGAAACACTTTTATTAGATGACTCCAATTTCGCGGATATTGTACTATCAGCAGGAGGAGTAGACCCTGAAGGAGGAGAAACGACTTTCATGGGTACTACGATTTTAACGGGAGAGGCAACTTTCACTAAAGATGCAACCTTTGTAAAGGAACCACCCTTGACGGGAGAAACAACTTTTACTGGAGAAATTGCCCGCATAGAAACAACCTTTATGGGAGAAACTGCTTTCACCGGAGAAGTAGCCCGAACTGTCTTTAGAGGCGAAAGAGACTTCAGAGGCACTGCTTTAAGGGAGGTAACGTCACACGATGGGCTGCTCTCTTCCGCAGGAGAACTGGTCATTTCGTCTGAAAGATCCTTCGCTTTTATTTCTTTGTCGGCCTCACGAGAACCAACCAATACGTCTGTTATTACGATTTCTGAACTTGAATCGTAAGTAGGTACAGCCATTATAACCTTGTTATCATTAGCGTCATCATTAGCGTCGACTGCTTGTTGCGGATCACAATCTATTTGAAGCGAGTGCTGCTCTTTATGGCAGTCTCCATGTTCCGCATCCCTCTCTTGGGCGGTAACATTAACGGCCTTGGCCATAATCGTTGTCTCTGAGGACGCACCTGGAGACACGTGAGGCAATGGACTATATGAACAAGTAAGGTCGGGTGTTCTAGACACTGCCTTTTCCGGAGTTTGTTGGCTGAGCGTACCGGTTGACTGTAATGTCTGCTGAGCATAATAAGTTAAATTCGCTGAGTTCTCAGATGACGCGGTTCTTACCAGCCGAACCTCGTCACACGCTTCCTTTGACTCCGAATTTTCTCCAACAGATATCGTCATCCGAGGAGATAGTTCAGCGCATGAAACCACTTCATTTCTTTCTCGCGTAAGTGGTGAAGAAACTTCTGGAGAGTGGACATTCCGTGGAGAGCTGATCTTCGCCTGAGAATCGACTATTCTCATGCTATCGACAACATCTGTCGATTCCTCCATGTTCGCTATATCCATAGACTATAACGTGTTAAAGTGAAATATCGGGATCACCGAATATCAGATACAGGAATGTCCCTGCCGAGGCGTCTTCAGCAGCTCAACAAACTGGAGCGGCTTACAGAAAAAAGACAGTTCCAAATTTAGAAGTTCAGCATGTTTGTTTAATGGGCAGAAAACAAGGCAATGACTTTAAAACAATAACGTGTTACTACGTAGAACTTATATTGACAGAAAAGATCAAAAAGAAAATTCCATAATCAAATCGTACACGCGTTCCTTTTCACACACCTGAAAACTATGCTAAATAATTTCGACCTATTATCCGTTAGTTTAAAAAATTCTAAATTAACCTATATGTCAGTTAGTCTAAATTCACCTCTATTCATCATCAAGCCTTCTGTCAACAAAGGTTTTTCGAAACAGTAATTCTACTACAATCAATTATGCTGAATATATTCATAGTAAAAATTTCCAAATCCTACACGTAGCCTAAATTCTTACTGCACGGTATTCGTGTGAGTGGTACGGTTGCAGCTTCTGTAATGTTTAGCCCCGCTTCAATAGATTATACCAATAGATAAATTGTTTATACGGCTCAATAAGCAGGCTATTCCTGCCACTAAATAGGCTGTTTTCAAGCCAGTTCCGTTTTCATACGTACACGTATGGTGTATAAGCACACATCATGAAGATAAACTGACTGAGTTACTCTTCAATTACCACACGGAGCGATAACGAAAAATGTATACCCGCCTTGACGAACTGGTCGCTCACTGAACAAGAGTTTCACGTTTGCAAGCATATTAATTTGCACCGATGGCCGCTGCAGATTGCCCCAAGCCATACTACTGCACTCGATCAGCTGAAGGATAGAGTATGTCGGATCAGCTGATTGGTATCGTTTGGTGTATGCATGTTTAACTTAAATAGGTATAGAGACCACTGTATATAGGTATAGAGACCAGATAAAGATCCTCTATAGAGAACTTCATAAAAGATTCGTAATCTTACCTATCAATATCGATGATTATTATCAAAGTTTTGCGTCAAATTAGACATGGCCCTGATCTCAATCCCGATTAGACACACTTCGTCCTTACCATTAATTTAGGAGGTGGCGAGAGAATGGACTTCTCAACAGCCAGGTTCCAAGGAGGCCGAATGCGGGACGGAATAAAGCATGGTTGATTTTGTTACTTTACAAGGAAACTTAATATATTTTAAAATCTAGTCATTGATGATACATTATATACATTTGAAAACGTAAGTACCTAAAAACTCCTCTTCTGATAAAACAGTCTCTCGGAAGCTATAAAACTAACTCACCGGGGTATTATAGCCCTGCTGAACCTTTGGCGTATAGCCTGATATCAGTAAGTGAATCATTTTGTCGACAACAAGAACGGATGTTAGTTCATTCCGGCGTTTAGCTTTTTCTACCCAGGTGCAATAGATTGAGACTCGTGTCTTTGGACTCGTGTCGTGGGTGGAGCTCGTGTATGGGCATGTCCGCTTAAATATTTGAGTGCAAAGAGAACAAATTGGATAAGCTTAGATAAAATTAATTTTATTCGAATCCTGCATTAAGTGCACCTACGAAGTTTGTTACTGTCGTGGGATTTCTTAAGAAATAAATATAACTTGATTGTTTCTCAAGGCGGTGAAGAAAATTGTTTGAAGTCAGAAATCAATCAACAGAGCAGATAATCTTTGCGGGGACTATTGTTAACAACCGATAAAAACGAATTTAATAGAACCACGTATTAATAGTAAAGTGGTTTATTTACTGTTATTACTTCGACTAATGCATGTTAAAAGCGGCCAGTGTAACTTTTTTTGTATAGCAGATAATAGCGGGGTAGTGAAATGGGTAACGGTATCGCAATCATTCTATGATTTCCGTTTTAAACCCCCAAATCGCTTCAAAAGGTCAAATAAATTCTCAGCAAGGCACTATATACAGCTACATACAATGGCAAGAAATCATATTAGGAAAATTTAGAATCTGACCCAGTTGATTGTATCCTGGTTGTTCCCTCCGAAGTAATCTCCGCCGAACATAATTTTTCTAAACTTTGAGTCAGCTTTCGAATCAATCGTATCCGGACCTCGGTTATGTCCTTGTTTTCCTTGGAAATCATTTACTATCTCAAATACTTATTTTCTGAGGTGTTTCTTGAACTTTGAGAAGCGAAAAAAAGTTGCAGGGGACTGGATGCGGTGGAGACGGATTATTGTGATGAAGAATCCACTGGTTCTTCCCTCAAGTTTCAGGCCTATTTTGAACACCATTATATTAAATCCTAAAAACTTCTTAATAACACTCTTAGCAACAGTGAAACCATGAATACAAAATACACGACACTTGAAGCTTTCTCTGGCTTAAGCTTGTCTCTGACACATTGCTAAAATTACTGTGCTTTTGCCCCCACGTCATATCTGTATGCCCACGTCTTTTAAGCTGTAATGACGTTTTGAAGTAAATCCTAGAACTTCTTGGGTACGTTAAAGTTTTCCTACGGCAAAACAGAGTGAGGTCTTCCGATTCTTCACGTTTTAGCCGCGACAAGTTGCCCAGAATGCTGGACGACAGAGCCTTGAAACTCCCAACGCTGCTGATACCATTTCTATAGTTGGAACTGACTCACAGTCTGGTCTCTAAAAGCCTTCTATAATAGTGAAATTACCCGTGAGTGTCTGATTTCATTCATAAAACTAAAGATGGCCCACACTTTTCAATAGTCGTCGTGTTTCAAATAATAAAAAAAAATATGGTTGTAAGTAAGTCGCCTCAGAAAGCGTTTCTGCAAGCATACGTTTAAGTACTCTGAAATTCTGTTTGTGATGGCAGACCGGAAAAAGAGTCCGACGTCACGAATCACAAATCGGTTTTATGAATACATTTTTGACCCATTACTATATCGTGCCGAACTCTATTTTTTCTTTTTCTTATTTTTTATATTTTTTACAACAAAAAATGCTTTAGAGGAATAAATGTGTCCCGTGCATAAAGCGCTTTATTTTTTGAATTCGGGTCAAGCCGATAGGTTCCTACACAATTTTCAAATTTTATTGGTAAAACATGTGACCTCTGTGTACTCCGTTACTGCTTTACCGTTGACGATTCAACATATTTGGCGTATAGCTGATTGCTCGTGCAGAGGGGTCTACATGGAAAACGCCTAGGATAGAGCGCCTTTTGTTTTCAAGTACTATAATCCTGCATAGGCTTTCTCTATATGATAAAAAAAATATTTGCCACACTTTCGAAATGACGAGAGCAAGAATTCAGCAATGCATTTGGGTGATTCGTCGTGAGCTAAGCGAACACATTGTCGCCTCAGTTAGGCCCTATCCTAAAACACAACCTAATGTCCTAGCGATAACCACACGACATCAATACTGCGCATTTACGACTAATATAGGATAACTCGGCAGCCGAAAAGCGAAGAAATTGCAGGCACGTATTTAATTTAATTTGCTCAAAAATCCATAGCATGTAGCACTAAAAAGTATTGATTTTAGCGTCTACGAACGCCACCAAATTCAGATAAGTTTAGTTTATATCGTACGTAAGGTAAAAAACCAAGCAACGTATTCAGATAAGTACCACAACGAAGAACGGTGTTGAGCCGATCCTGAAAGCACCATTTCCTTCCAAAGTTACTTTTTAGATCTTTAGTTAGATAAAAATTGTGCCGATACATTGGTGAGTAGCTACTATAAAGATAGCTATAAAAGTGCCCGCTTGAGCTCCCATCCGCTTATACGAAATAAACGTAGCAAGATTTGCATTTGTATCGTTGTGTACAAATAAAAAAAAATCTTTTTAATCATTTGATTGTATATCAGCTCAAGGAAAACGAATACGGTGATGTGGACTTAACGTATCGATCACATTTGGTTCTATCGGCGGATTGTCATTCTGCTAAGACAGGCATCTTCGCTGGAATGGTCGTTCTACTTTTATCGATCGTTACAGTAATTCTATTTTTCGTGTTCACCGGAGCCTTACCAGACAATGTGCTAAATGAATACTCGACAAACAACAGTGTTTTTGACGTTGTCATTACGGGAAATCTGAGCAGCGATCACTTACAAATTGCTAAACGGATCTACAATTTTCAGGTGAGTTCATCCAAATTTATACTGTCCTCTAAGAACTTTATAAAGCGCACGCCAGTTGCTGCCTATGGCCTCTTTTACTGTAAAATTGATGCAGCAAAAAAAAAAAACAATCGCTATCTAAATAGAACTTTAATCCTAGTTATTATTTGAGGTACATTAGTTCGCTCTATGCAGTACGTATTTTTTGGTTAGGGTCTTTGGTTCGCTAGTTCAGCTGTTAAGCATTGGTTTGGATGGCTTTCTCCCGGGGGGAGTGTATTTACACCTGGGACATTTGTAATTAATATCCTAATAACGAGCATTTTTTCCGTCCAGTTATTACGGCCTAATCATTTTTTTATTGAGTCGACGCATCAACGTAAGTGTATTCAAATAAGCATATCTATATATATATATATATATATATATATACATATTTATCTTTATACAAAACACACTTGTGTTTTGTTATCACGGAAATAATTAGATAATAAATGGCTTTTGCCAGGAAGCCATCCTATGTTTTTACCAGAAAAATTCAGTATGATACTTAGAATGATCTTGATATAATATTTTGTATATAAATGTTCTGCATACATCTGTTAGTCCACATATGTATGATGGGTGTTTATAATCTCATTGATAGGAATACCGTCGCTACAACTAAAAATATAATAATAAAAGTCTATGGCTCTAAGAATCTCCCGCATGTATCAAAAACGCGTTTTTGCGTCCATAAAGTCTGAGTTTAATATCATCATTATTGTTCATCTCTCTGCAATGTTTCAGCTGTTGCTACTTCTCATATTGAACTTTTATACTGAATGTAAGCGACAATGTTCGAAGACGATTCGGCATAAGCTATAGTTTCTACCATTTCCAATTCATAAAACGTCAGGATCACACAGTTTCGAGCCTATGACAGAAAGTCATCCTTGGAACAGTTTTACATTCAGCTTGTGGCCGTCATTTTACGGCTGGGGAACAGCGACACACTGGCAAAGCACAAATACAAACAAACAAACAAGCAGACGACGCATGCTTCGGTTCAGCGAGTGGTGCCGCTAGACGTACACAGCTGGAAATTATTTCCTGTTTTTGTATTACAATCGTATAGAATAGATATATAGAAGTATCATACATTATTATTTTTAGTATTATATATTCAGCATTGTGCTAGTCACACCTCTAGTATTTCGTCGTAATTTTTCACTCATTGAGCTAAAGATCAACCAATAAGACAAACGGGTCACTTTTCCCTGTGTTGTTAGCACCTATGTGTCGTCTACGTGTTTGTTTGGTATGGGTGTCCGTGTTTCTTGGCCACTGCGTCTGCGCTATCCTTTGCTGCTACCGCTGGTTATTAGTTGTGGTTTTGGCAGCAGTGGAAGTGTTGTGTGGTCTGTTTCTGCTTGAAGCCGTGGGTCTTCTACCCCCTTCGCCGCAACCCCTCTATTTCGTTGAGTATATCGTAATACTGAGCAAAGTGCAGGTTTAGGCACCTGAAATATTTTTATATAGAGACAGCGCTCAGCAGTGGAATACTCGACTCGACCTCGAAACAGCTTTTGCGGGAGCAGTCACCTAGCACAAGCGCCCCGCTGCGTCCATCGTTGGTGTTTCGTTACAGTGACGTGTCTCTCAGCTGATTGTTGGGTCTGTTCGCGTACTGCCACCGCTCTTATACGATGACATGACAAAATCAAAAAAGTCTAAACGAACAACGAGAGTGGTAATGAGCTTCTACGGTAATCCGATATTCAATTTTTTTACCATTTCATAAACGAGTTGATTCACTAATTTCCGGAAGCACAGAAACTACACGAAAAATAAAAGGAAACATCCACCTCAACCTGAACAAAAGTTCTTCGCCGTAACAGTGACACTCGATATTTACCACTGCCTTTATCCGAAATTGCAATTGTGAAGTGGACACGGCGCGTTCCCATAGCCGGCGAACTGTGTAAAGATACAGAGATAAATAGGTCTGTTCGGCGGTTCTACAATGTTGTTAGGTACGTATGTACGCGTAATCAAATCTATTGACAAATAGCTACCCGAGTTCAGGCACGAGCATCAACTGAAATGTCGGCAAACATGTTTCGTCGTTGCTTGCTTCTACTTTGCCAATGCGTTCGTCCGTGATCCGTCAGCAGAACTATCTTTCGACACCGCCACCCATAATACAGCATAGAAGACATGCAACGATACGGCAAAGCAGCCAAGAAAGCAAAGCGATATTGACCCACAGGCCAACAAGCTCGACCGTTTCCGGCGCCGCAGCCGGGCATTATTACTGCCTATTGCCGACTGCTAACAGCGTTCCTTAAGCTACTGCTACTGCTATACCACTAACTAATCCTGTTTCGTTTGATCGTTCGTTTTTTTTTAATATCGACGATCCTACACGAAGCTCAGCGACGACGGCGACAAAGCAGTCGCGGCAAGTAAAACGTAGCATAGCTGTTTCAAGGAGAAGTGGTACTTATAAGTGTGTATATGTATGCATGGTTGGCAACCTGCGACATTCAAACACAAGCCGCACGTAAAGCCGTAACGAAAATTGAATTCGCTTAGTCGCCTAGATCGGAGTTGTTAAAGATCAAAATAAAAAAAGCCCGCCACCAACACCGCCATGGCGCAGGTGCTTGTTGAACAATTTTTTCAGATGCCGGTCGTCACTAGAACATACGCATCGGCATGTTTTCTTACCACGTTGGCCGTTCAACTGGATCTAGCATCACCATTTCAGCTTTACTTCAACCCCAACCTGATACTTCGCGGCCAGGTGTGGCGTCTGCTCACGACTTTCATGTACTTTGGCTCGTTCGGTTTTAGTTTCTTTTTTAACATGCTCTTTACGGTACGATACTGTCGAATGCTTGAGGAGGGCTCGTTTCGGGGGCGGACAGCTGATTTTGTATGGATGTTCCTGTTAGGTGGTGCGTGTACAGCTTTTGTTGGTCTGTTTGTGCATATGCTATTTCTCGGCCAAGCATTTACCACTATGCTAGTCTACGTATGGGCACGGCGGAATCCACACTTTCGACTGAACTTTTTTGGATTGGTCAACTTCCAGGCGCCCTACTTACCATGGGTCTTGTTCGGTTTTTCGGTATTGCTAAACAATATCTGGACCGTCGACCTGATTGGCATAGGCGTAGGTCATGTATATTATTTCCTCGAGGATGTATTTCCCCGTCAGCCAAACGGATTCAAGGTCATCCAGACTCCACAGTTCCTAAAGCAGCTGCTGGATGTTGATGACGAAGACGAAGTTCCAGTTGACGATGCGACCCGAGAACAGCAGCCAGGGGGACCTCAATGGGGCGGCATGTAAAAAAATATAACGCGAAACACTGAAGCGCCATCCAATGGCTGACGACATAGCCAAATTAAGAGTATAAGTGAACAATGCTGTGGAGAAGCAACTATTCTGAACAGCGTCGTTTTACGTCTCGCCTCATCGCCATTAACTTGATTACATTATAAAGAGGGACCATCATCTGGGCAGACACATTTGGACTTTACTTGCACTGTGATCCTGAGCGTCAGCCAATATTCCATCTTGTACATTGCCGATAAAGAGACAAAACAAGAAACGTTGCTTGTACACACAAAGCCTAGAGCATGTTCGTGAACTACTTGATGTACAACTACCTCAATGTGCCCCATTGCAGGAAAGGGTCACTGCAATTGTAACTGAACGGAACTGAATTGGTGATATGTTCACGTCAATATCACCGTCATGGATAGAAAGAAAATGGACAGTCGTTTCTCGTTAGTGAGAAAAGCCCTTCGAATGGACAATATTATGGTACCGTTTAAGCAACAGTGCGGAGTGAGCCAGAGATCTAGAATCTGTTCGATTAGCACATGTAAAATTGTTTTTACGGCAAAGATGTAGTATTTGCTAGTTGGCTAATATAGTAATGATTTTAATATGCCTGTGCCCCTTTACATGGAATCAGAATGCTGTAATCCAGAACGTAAAATGTATTGCTGTGTGCCAGAAACTTTTGCAGTTGTTTGAAGTCGTTACGGTTAAGAACACGTTTGTCAGCAGAAATGGTATGACGAAAATAAATTTTTGCTATATAGGAGTACTGTAGTTCATTTTTTTTCGGTATCGAAAATCAAGTTTGTAATGAATTACGACTGTTGCAGTACGGCGTAATGAGCGATATGACATGTTACCAACTGTTATAAGCAAATACACTTTGTAAATAATGAGCTTGCAAACGGCCTTGTTGGATCGAAGAAAATTCTGGAAAAACAGACCCATGTTGAAAGTTATATTTACTGTGTTTATTTGATACAAACAACATGAGAAAAGCAGAATGAGATAACACTCGAATATATATATATATATATATATATATGTATGTATATATATATATATGAAAGATGGCAAAATATTAAAATAAACAAAGAACACAATTTGTACAGTTAAACAAACGGATCTTTTTTCTTATTTGCATGTACTACACCGTTGCTGTCGATGCAAAGCATTCAAGTTTTAGTCAACGACGATTAATGAATTTGAATCAATTAATTTGTGATCTATCTTTACGTATGTGCTTACAACGTTAGAGCTATAACTCAAACTGTGCGCTTGTTTCTAGAATGCTAGTCAAATGTCAATTATTTATCTTGTTGTATAAAGTGTATCCAATCATGCAAAGTACTGATAGTCAGTTTGCAAAGGTGATCTTAAATGGTGCAAACGTTTTCAAAGTAGTTGGGAGTTATCTGAATCGTAGTAATCAGCGTTTGTAAGTAATGATTTAGTACCCCAAAAATGGTATAGCGTATATGAAACTCAACATAGAAAGATCCGCCGAATAGAAATAATCCTTTTTATATATTTTTTAACCACTCGTATTGAGTGTAAAGACTACTATGTAACCTATAGGCTGTTCTATTTAGGCATATTGAATCAGCGCGCCTCTCTTGGATTTTGCACGGCAGTTTATCAGTTTTAGCAGAAACTCATAAGCTAAACAATCGTATCACCGAGAGAGATCTTTCATTGTTGCCCTTTAATTTAAAAAACAACACGGGTCGTTTTTTTTGGTTAGTACGTCTTCTGTGTTTTTTGGTTTCAAATGCTCGAAAAAGTTACTAAAAAATATATATATATATTACGTAACGTGCCAAATGTTAAAGTCTCAACAAATTAAATTTCCCAAACAATGATGTAATAACGTTTCCAAACGCTCCATTAGTTGGTTTTCCTCTAAGGCCTTTTGAAATACTTAATATGTGTGAGTTGATCTCACATCGGCCGTGACTTGTTTGATCTCGCGTAAATCATTGAGTTTTTTTTACTCCAAAACACTAAACACATGCGTCTAATCTGCAAAATATTCACTTGTCTTCAACTTACTCCATCAAGAGCTTATGCTTATCTTTACTCATTTAGAATCGCCCACCATTTGGGTGTCTAGCCAAAATCGGCGCCTTAAATTTGAATCCCATGCTTTGGAACATAGTACTGAGTTCACTCCATTGCCATTACAAGTATTCTCTAGGAGGTCTGCTCGTTGAGTCGAACGGTGCTTGTCCACTCAGTTTCACCTAATTGATATTAACGCTTAGTCAATAATTTTACGTAGTTTCCTAGTTTGCGAATCTAACCCATATTAATAATAACGCGAAATGGAACCTTTAACAAAAAATTCTTAATCCTTGATGATCTTAGACGGCCCCGCAGATGTCGACTTTATCCTTAAATGAGAAGAACCCGCATATTACTATTCCTTCCAGGTGCATGTACTATATAATATACTGCCGATCTGTTATCCATTGTCTCTTGTCTTCTGTTATCAATATCTTGGCGATGTTTTTCGCGATAATTATCTTACAATATTGTGTCATGTGTGGACCAGAAGCCTTCTTAGCTACTACAGAAACGGGCTGTGATGCGATGTTAATAAAGTTGAAGATTAGTGCATGTTCTAATATAACCTAAGTATTAGATTAAAAGTAAACATCGAATCGAACAGAAATGTCTCGTTGAACATTTGAATAGGATCTGCGAGACCAAATAATGGTTGCGCGGATATATGATGAGTGACATAAAGCAGTTTTAGTAATTATCGGTCCCTTATTAAACTTAATTGCTGTCACACTTGTTTATAGCAATACGAAAAGGGATCAGGTTTTACTACGGTTAAAGTTTCCCAAAGCCCTACTTGACCACACAAATAAGATAAAGTCGTAGGGCCATAGTATTAACATGCCAAAAATGAATTTGCAGACAGTTCGAGAATATTTCAGGCCTAACATCTCTAAGCAGATAGTAGATAATAAGTAACAATGGGGTATAGAATCATATTTTGCATCTCACTGTATAAACCATTAAACCATGTTTATTTTCACGATGTCGCATTATTTTCTTGTGGTCATACGTTTTTTAATAGTCTATTTTTTTTTTTCTAATGATAGGACGGAATGTTGATTTCCATCTCGCTCGTGGCTGTTGGAATGGCGTTTATGAAAACCCGCTCTTTATCGTTTAATCCGGCGCCAATCACCTTCCTTGACGACTGCCTTCTCGTCATACCGATCCCATTCTTCATTGTTAATACTGCCCTCAACGTGGTTGCCGAACTTACCCATGATGACGTACGTACAATTCTTTTTCGTGGACAAAATTGTCCTGTAGATTTTTATGGGCTTTGCTAACTAACTTGATATTGTGTACTAATCAAATCAAGCAGCAGACCAAGCAAACTGAAACCGTAAGAGCACTGAGGGTGCGGCCAGTGTATTATTTTTGATCGATCACGAACCCTTTATTGGCCACAAAGGTTAACACAGTGCAAATACTTATTATTTACTACAATATTTGTAATGCATCAACGATCGATAGTAGTAAAACGTATTTTTTGTATTCATTACCACGTCAGCCCTTTGGCACTGGAACTGATTAATCTAATAGTTTCCTTTAACTTTTAAGAAGACCGCGTGTAGTAGGTCCGAATCCTTTGAAAAAAAATAGGCCTCAGTGTCGGTGGCGTCACTTAGTAATGACGGGGATGTTCAAACACCCAGATCCATAGTACAGTTTTTATCGCACATGAATATTGTGCATGGATCGTGCATACTTTACCAACGTCTTATAACTATGAGGGCGCGTAGCTTATAGGCTGACGTTTGCGATGAGCCAAATAACCGGCCAGTGAACTAAATGAAAGAAGATTCAATATACTGGCCATTACTACGTCGACGATTGTTACTGCTGCTGACGCTGACGCCATAACTCATGTACTTCTTGTTATTAGAGAAATTCAATTTCTTCTGAAACGCCGTAATGAGAAGAGTCCGTAATTGTTGTAGCCACTATAGCTAGCTAGCTAGATAGAGGGAAATTATCATTAATACTTCACGTGGCATCACCTTTGCTCAGGACAAGCTTTTTAAATATTTCTGTATTTATTATTATTTTAAGCTCAAGTTAGTGCATGTCTCTACGAAGATGAGATTGGTTTCATAAAGTTTATATTATGATAGGTTGTAGTGAGTTCAGTTTTATTTTAAGGCGATTAATTGGGTCACTAAGTCATATTATCCGCCATATGGTATCCCCGCCGCATCGGAACTTGGTAGTGCCTTGTTAAAGAAATTGTATCAGTCGTGTAGTGTCAACGGTGTAATAGCAGAACTATGCCCAATGTAAGGATTATATGCAGAACTGCACGGAAAGTATATGTAAACATAAAACAGACCTTCGTTTAGAAATCCAGTGGACAGCGAGGTAGGACAGACAGGGCAAGTCAGCTAATAAACATGAATGAACATACATTCGTATTATTCTACTAAGAAATTGCTCTAAGTACGTCGAGTTCATCTAACTACAAAAAATGTGTATACTCAGTTACCGCTTCTGTCAGTCTAAGAAGTCTAAGCCACCAAAGTTAAGCTACACAAAAACTGCTTTACCATAAGCGGTGACTGCCGTGTTATGTAATTAAGTTCATAGACGCATTTTAACAGCTAATCTGCAGCTAAATATAGCTTAGTATTTAGTAATTCGATGAGAACTTTTATCAGCATTAGTTAGCTCTGTCAGTTAGTGGATTCTAGGAGATTTAATGAGAAATTACAACAACTGATTACGAAAGTGAATGAGCCAATGCCCTATAAAGCGGCTAGATTTTAACAAAACGGATTACCTTTTACCCGTTAATATACCCGGATGTTCTTATGGATATCATGATTATAGTGTTTGATTAATATCGTTCCCAAAGCAGTAGTCTAGTTGCATGACATTTCTGTCCTGCGAAGACTGGCCCGATTAATCTGTTCGTCTGCGTTAGGCCTTGAAGCTTGCAAATTGATTTAGCTTTCAATAGAGAATGCTGATAGTTAGCAGTCTGCAGTAAAAAGTTTAAGAATCAACTGTGTTTTTGGTAGAATTGTTCGTTTCGATTCGTGAGTGACGGAAGTGCTTCCTGATGGACACTTCCATTGGCAGAACGTACCTGTGTATCTACATATGTTGACATACTGGCACGATTTTTTGACCAGTAGATTGATATTTTCGGTATACTTTATTGAAGCTGATTTGGCTATCTTTCTTGTACATTATGTTACACGTTCCTAGTAACATCCAATAGAATGTTCGTTTTCGAGTAAGCTAGCGTATAGAAATAGACTAAGGATGTAAAGGCACAGATCCATAACATTTGTAGATAGTTCTCAAGAACTCAGGGGATGATATAGAACTAACGAAAAGGCATAACGAAAAAGTTTTTCACCTAATTTAGAAACGATTCAATAAGTTTGACAATAGCGTCGTGTAAGTAGCGTTACTTCCCCTATAGTTCATTAATATAAGGAGGCTTTTCATGTCTTCTTTTTAGTAATAATGAATGAACTGTGCAATGTATTTTGAATAGAACCACTTCACCAGCCAGTGTACGACGCTGACCCAGAGGTCCAAACAACAAACAAAGCACAAATATCGCGCGAATTTGAAAGCATGCGCTTACACCAAATGCATTTTTAATTATCTTCCTAAGTTAACAAGCGAAGTTATTTTTGTTGGCGGTGGCGTGTATTTTTGCTATTTAAGTATTTATCATCCTTTTAGGGTACCACGCTGCGCGCTTGCTTCGCAATTCTCAAGTTGTTCCAGGTCTTAGTGCAAACCCCGATGTTGATCGATGGTCTGCGTCGATGCAGTTTCTCCACAAAAATGAGGTAAGATCTTGATTCCGTATGATCTGTGACTACTATTCAACTGTTATGATGTAACATCAAATACAATATACGGTTATTTCAATAGGAATTCTCGGTACCTTGGTGGGTTAGATTAAAGTTCTCAAGTATCTCTTTATGGCTGGTATTATATTTGGAGGTAACATAAGCGCAATTTAATCTTCGCCTTCTATAACAACTAATACCATGTGTTCCAGTTATCAGAAGCCCGGCCGCGAATTGGTGACATTTCTCATTGTGGTCAATCTTGCTATGTGGTTCGTTTATACCTTTGAACAGAAAAAAGTTGACGAATTCCTTGCGGCAGCACAGCTATTTCACGACCGTTGGACTTATATTGCTCACACAACTGTTCCACTAATGCTGTTCTACCGGTACGTGTGTGCACATATGTGTGTGTATTTATTATGTTTGTTAAAACAGAAGCCTCGAGTCTAATTACTTGTTGCGAGCCATTTTGATGAGTGCAAATATATTGGAAATGATTTAATATTAAAAACTCAAGTGCGTCATAAGCATCCCAAATATTTGAAATCGTTTGACTTTGGTAATAGTAGGCCAGCGTATAGTCGACGATGCTGCAAGAAAGTGTAGAAATATCTAATCTTTTTCTAGAGGACGATAAAACGTGTGCTTGGGCAAACTTTATATTCTTTGTTCAAGGCTTTATATCTCGAACTATATCTTGCGATGGAACTCGCGAGAAGTTTTTTCTTTTCAGAGAAACCATTTTCTGGATGACTGTTAATTTGGATAAGATATCATTCTCGTACAGGTGTAGTCAATAAATGTATGCAAAAAATGTACCAAATATGTACAAGACTTCCAGCATAGAGGATGTAATTTATTTCGGCGATATACTTCCTTGCAATATTTTCCAATGTATGCCGGTGCTAGATCAGATAACGCCACATTTTTTATATAGAATATCCATTCCTTTAAGCATAAATGGCCTAGTGCTCCGTTTCTTTTTCAGGTTTCATTCTGCGGTTTGTTTTGCGGATATCTGGAAGAGCGCATACGAAAAAGAGGAAGACTGAAGATATATAATAAAACAATGATCAAATACGACTTCTCTGGAGCACCATACAAGTTGTGTAGATTAAATATACACATAATCATTCAAGGTAGCACGTCGGAGTCAATATGTGATACCTATAATATTATATTAGCGGTATGACGATATGCGTATATTTTTCAAACATTTGAGTCGAAATGAGTTATAAAGTAATGCGCTGGTTCCACTAGCGTAGTTTCTAATAAGGAGACGGCCGACATTCCCACTCTGTGTAGAGTGCGTCCCAACACATCTTGTTCCCGTTGTTGCACCTGGATGTTTTTTCTATCAGGTTAAAGGGGCTGCTTTTCTCTGCGAACTAGCACAACGGAACTTACACTTCTTGCTATGACCGATATGTAGTGGATGGAATATTGGAACGTACGAGTGTTAAAGAAGAGAAATCTTCGTTGAGTTCTATCATGTAATAAGCTTAGGCTCAGCTAGAGTAGATCCACGGCAAAGTAGTAGGCTGTCTTAATCAAGATAAAGTCATCTCGTTTTGCATGGCACTTTTTTTTAAAGGAGAGGATAATGAAAGCCAGTATTTGCAGACCTAGACTGTCCTAGTTGTTTGTGTTATCGCGAGTCGTTACGGGATCCGAACCAACTACAGTAAGGTACATAATAATAAAATGAACGCTTAGAAAACGCTATTTTTAAATCGATCTGAAATTAACCGATGTATACCGTTGAAGCTTCATTTATTGAATTACTTGCTGCTACCCCTCGTCACATCCTTAGCCTTCTCTATATATTTATATATCATCTATTATATTCATATTTAGTCTCCTCCTTAGATTATCCATCAGTCCATTTCAATGACTTTAGTCATTCTTCAGTATGTGGACCTCAGCAATCCTATTTCTGTCTCACTCAATGGTAAATATATCACTTCTCCTAAGGTGTGCTTCGGATTGTGTGTACGTGTTCTCTCGAGCGTATGTGTATTTCGTTTGGTTTATCCGATTTTTGTTACATCTGGCCACAGTACTTAAGCCACACTCATCTTTGTCTAGCCCAATCGTTATTTATTATTATCATCGTTTTTTCTTCTGCTATTCCCTTTCTTCTATCACCCTAGTTCATATATCATGCGTTGTTGATGTTGTTGTTCCACAACAGCTTTATCTAAAGCACAACAGACCCCAATATTTTTACTGCATACGGACTTAGTTCATGCCGAGATTTTGATCATCGTCAGCGTGAACATAGCCATGATATCAATGCAATCTTAATACTATTATCATCGTTATGAAGGACAACAACCTTCTTTACCTCGATGCCCGTTTCATCATCACCGTATCGAACCAGAACAATGACTAGCAATCTTCCTCCTTAGCTAGGGCTCGCTGTGGACTTTTCCTTAAACATTTTCCCCTTTTGCCATTCACACAATATATA